CAAATCCAAACTGGGATCCGGGGAATCCAGACTGGGATTCAGCAAATCCAAACTGGGATTCAGCAAATCCAAACTGGGATCCGGGGAATCCAGACTGGGATTCAGCAAATCCAAACTGGGATTCAGCAAATCCAAACTGGGATTCAGCAAATCCAAACTGGGATTCAGCAAATCCAAACTGGGATCCGGGGAATCCAGACTGGGATTCAGCAAATCCAAACTGGGATTCAGCAAATCCAGATAGGGATCCAGACAATCCAGACTGGGATTCAAGGAATCCAAACTGGGAATCAGTGAATCCAGACTGGGAATCAGTGAATCCAAACTGGGATTCAGGGAATTCAAACTGGGATTCAGGGAATCCAAACAGGGATTCAGTGAATCCGTACTGGGATTCAGTGAATCCCATCTGGAATTCAGTGAATCCAAACTGGGATCCAACAAATCCAAACTGGGATTCAGGGAATCCAAACTGGAAACCAGTGAATCCAAACTGGGATTCAGGGAATCCACACTGGGATTCAGGGAATCCAGACTGGGATTCATTGAATCCAAACTGGGATTCAGCTAATTGAAACTGGGATTCAACAAATCCAAACTGGGATTCAGCAAATCCAGATGGGGATCCAGACAATCCAGACTGGGATTCAGCTAATCCAAACTGGGATTCAGGGAATCCAAACTGGGATTCAGCAAATCCAGATGGGGATCCAGACAATCCAGACTGGGATTCAACTAATCCAGACTGGGATTCAGGGAATCCAAACTGGGAATCAGTGAATCCAAACTGGGATCCAGGGAATACATACTGGTATTCAATGAATCCAAACTGGGATTCAGGGAATCCAAACTGGGAATCAGTGAATCCAAACTGGGATTCAGGGAATTCAAACTGGAATTCAGGGAATCCAAACTGGAAACCAGTGAATCCAAACTGGGATTCAGGGAATCCAGACTGGGATTCATTGAATCCAAACTGGGATTCAGCTAATTGAAACTGGGATTCAACAAATCCAAACTGGGATTCAGCAAATCCAGACGGGGATCCGGGGAATCCAGACTGGGATTCAACAAATCCAAACTGGGATCCGGGGAATCCAGACTGGGATTCAGCAAATCCAAACTGGGATTCAGTGAATCCAAACTGGGATTCAGCAAATCCAGACGGGGATCCGGGGAATCCAGACTGGGATTCAACAAATCCAAACTGGGATCCGGGGAATCCAGACTGGGATTCAGCAAATCCAAACTGGGATTCAGTGAATCCAAACTGGGATTCAGCAAATCCAGACGGGGATCCGGGGAATCCAGACTGGGATTCAGCAAATCCAAACTGGGATTCAGTGAATCCAAACTGGGATTCAGCAAATCCAGACGGGGATCCGGGGAATCCAGACTGGGATTCAGCAAATCCAAACTGGGATTCAGTGAATCCAAACTGGGATTCAGCAAATCCAGACGGGGATCCGGGGAATCCAGACTGGGATTCAACAAATCCAAACTGGGATCCGGGGAATCCAGACTGGGATTCAGCAAATCCAAACTTCCAACAAATCCAGACTGGGATTCAGCAGGATGAGCTGCCGGGGCTCCTCCAGGAGCCAGGGACAGCCTCAGCAGTGCCAGTTCCTCATCCATGACTAAATCCCAGCTCTGTAAATCCCGGGAGGAGCCGGGGGCCGCGCTGACGTCGTTATCTGGTCGTGCCCGGACAGCTCCCGTCCTTATCTCCCACAGCTCCCGTCCTTATCTCCCACTGCTCCTGTCCTGATCTCCGACTGCTCCTGGCGTTATCTCCGACTGCTCCCGTCCTGATCTCCCGCAGGAGGGACAGATTGGATCCCTCCCGCGGCGCCTCAGCCCCGCACCCTTTCCTGCCCGTCCCTCCATCCCATCCCAGCCCTGCCCCGGCTCATTCCCAGCTCGGGGTGATCCTTTCCTCTCCTTCCATCCCCAATCCAGACCTGGAAAAAACACCCAGGAGATGGGAAAAT